AAGCATTATCTTCAGCAACAGAATTTTGGTATATGAAACTGATCTCTTAAGTCTAATGGAAAGTACAACTGTCAATTTATGCCAAGGACAGGATTCACCCGTGAAGAAAACGGCATCATTTATAAATTACAAAACATCAGCAAAAAACAACCCACAACCAATGAAAAAAAAACCAAACCAAGCACCCCTTAGCACTCTTCAGAAGACACTGTAATGCCACTTTTGACGTACAGTCAATATTGGGCTTGTGCACCCCAAAGGGTATATATATTTTCCTCTACATAAGAGTCAAAAGCTCAGCATAGGTAAAGATTTAATCCAAGCCTTATTTTGCCTCCACTCCCTCAATAGATATTTATAAGGCGTTTGTCATTTAGGTGCCTTCCCTTCCCCTAATACTGTTCCAAAACTAGCAGTGGGTTTGTGGCTGCTTGAGATTGTATTGTGGTGGGGGAAGCATGGGCACAAAGCATATTTAGTTACTCAAGCTGAGCAGTTTTAATTTTTTAAATTAAATTTTTTAAATAGTTTTAACTATTGTTTTAATAGTTGTGCGCAATAATACCATTACTATAACTGTAGGATGGCATTATCAAAGCCAGCAGACACCTTTATCTTTTTAAAAATTGACTTTATTTCTGGTGTTTAGAGAGAGAGAGAGAGAGGAACACACACACAAACATACACCCACACTATTTTCAGACCTTTTGAGGTGCTAATATCCTCTACTTACAGACTGAAGATGGGTTTCATTTATATTTTCATACTTAAAATAGTTTTAAAATAAAATATGAGGTTACAGGAGCAATGACACAAAGGTCCTGTTTCTGTGAAAAATTAAGCATGTGCATAACTTTACACATGTGAGTAGTCATAATGGGCTTAAGTCTTTGTAGAATTCGGGCAACTACATCTACAAATAACTACAAACATTCCAAACATATATCATGTATACCAATATTCTTAATATAAGCATTAATTATAGGGGGGGAATAAAATCTCCCTCAAAATCTATTTTCATATTTTCAGATCTTCTCTAGGCTTGCTAAAGCCTCCAACTCCACCTATCTGCTACATTCAAGCCTGTAGTGATTTTTCATTTGATGAAAAGAATATTCAACAATCTGTGATGCTCTGAGCAACAATTCTGAGACTTAAGATTACCTGTTCTAATGGGGCCAATTCTTTTCAGTTTCCCTTGTAACTCCATCATGGAATCCCATTGACTGCAATGGAACTCTCTGCATGGAAAATGTGTGACTGTTTGAACAATCATGCTGAGGGTCATATAAAATAATTATTGTACACATTTTATGTTTTGTATATTTTAGTATAAAAATACAGAACTTTTTATTTTGCAAGCAGAGTTTTAGAGTTGATCACTGAGGCTATGTGTACACTACAAGCTAGGGGTAAGATTCCCTGCTTACATAGCTATATCTGTGCTAGCTCTTATCTGAACTAACATACTAAAAATAGTAGTGTAGTGACAGTAGCATGGGCAGTAGCAACAGAGGCATGAGCTAGCTGCCCCAACTACATACCTATTGGGTTCCGGTGTCTTTGTTCTCAGGGCTGCTAGCACAGTGCACAGCCATTCCTGCTGCTCATTACACCATGGCTACAATACTATTTTTACCATGCTAGCTCATGTGAGAGATAATATGACTGTGTCTATGAGAGCTAGGAATCATACCACTAGCTTGCAGTGTAGACGTAGCCTAAGGCTGTATTAACGAATATTTATTTGTTCTCCTAAATAAAAACAAATGCCACCATATACCAATTGATGTTTCAGTGGCAACACAGATTTTCTGGGAATCTGAGATTTCCACTGTTCACAGTTGAAAAGTAGGCAATAGCTGATCTGCTCCATCTTTACTTATGACCAAGAGGGCAGACTGTGTAGACTCCACAACAAGGAGAAAAGAGGTGTCCCAGTTACCACTCAAACTGTTTTCTCTGAGTAATTTTTGTACTTGAAGGAGAAGCAGACAGGTAAGACTGTGGGAGTGGGGAAGGCATGAATTTTTCAATAGTGAAAAATAAGTGGCTAAGCAGGATGCTGCCATTGTTAAACTGTGTGTGATTGTTTGGAGGACAACAGGGATGGTGGATGATAAAGGCAATGGACTAGAAAATCAGAAAACTACATGGGACTTCGCAGGAAGATAGTAGTGGACTTATAGTTCCAGACACAACTTTAAAAAGATCAGATATTTTCAAAATGAACTTAAATATATAATGGGGTCAGATCTTCAGCCTTGCTAACATCCCTTAGTGCCACTGGAGCAGTGCTGTGACTTTAAAGTTGCTCTAAAAGGACAGATGAGGATTCTTCCTATGCTATTGTTAAACCAATCCCTCCTGACTCATTCCTAGTCCAAAGTGTGTGTCAGAATCAGCTATGTGCGCGAGAGGATATTCTAGAGGTGGAAGGGGGCAGACCTGGAGCATGATATGCTCAGCTGATCCCTGGTTGGCAGAATGGCCCCTATGAGACAGTTCTAGCTGGTGTAGGTTAGAATGACTGACTGCTGCGGCTGTTCCAACTTTCGGGTAGGCTGGTTTGGCCCCCTGCTATCCCCAGAATCAGGGGGATGTAAAGGTGCCCACTGTAGTTACCTGGGAGACTATTAACCCATCCCTTCAAAAAAATATACATTTTATATCCTTCCACGGAAGCTTGTAATCTATTTGCTTATTAAATGTATATTGTCTGGCTTTTTGTTTTGAAATGCAAAGAGGATGTGAGTTATCATTGACTCTGAATTTCCTAGCTTGTTTTAGTTAGTTTAATTACCTGAGTGCTATTTACACTTAACTTTTTGTAGTCAATAGTAATGCCATGGATGAAAAGAATATGAAACTTCTTTTCACTCATTCTTCTTCCTGTAATAATGCTCTATCAGAGCATTAGGTCAGCTCTGCTACAGCACAACAGAGCTAAAAATAGTGCATCCATATAATATGGCTAATACAGGGAATGGGCAACTGCCACTAGATGGCATGATATCCTTATATTATTTTGCTTTCTTTTTTGCTTCTTTTTCTTTAATATAAAAGCAGTATGTAAAATTTGTCGTTTAAACTTGCTGTCAACACATTTTGACACTTCAGAGATGACCAATTCATCAGCCATTCATCCAGATATTGACAAACATGGACCTTTTTCCTTCTCAGGTGTGAGGCTAATACTGTGAAGTTGTTGTTTTGTTTTATTTCTGCTTGTAACTTTTTATCTATTGGCTAAGTGCTTTTTAAAAATAATTAACATAATTCCTGCCAACTCCTGGGCATTTTGTAATGATACCTGCAAACAGGATGTTTCTTCTGCAAAATTTCTTTCACCAGTACACTGAACAACTTCACTCAGATTCTGGGTTAGCAGGTGAAACACAATGCTTGTGACCAGCTTCAAGACTTCTGTAGCTCTTCTTGTGGCAGTGAATCCTGCAATCAGAACTCCTCCTCCCTCTATGACTGTGTGAAGAGGAACTCCATGTAGATAACCCGCTATCACTCAGAGAGACAAGGTGGGTGAGGTAATATCTTTTATTGGACCAACTTCTGTTGGTGACAGAGACAAGCTTCTTACACAGAGCTCTTCTTCAGGTCTGGGAAACTAACTCAAAGTGTCACTGTGAACTACAAAGTTTGAACAGATAGTTTAGTTTAAGTAGTTAACACATATTTCAAGGAACCATTCAATGTGAAGTGTAAGCTCGAAAGCTTGTCTCTCACCAACAGATGTTGGTCCAATAAAACATATTACCTCAACTACCTTCTCTCGCTAATATTCTGGGACCGACATGGCTACACAACACTGCATACTGCTATCACTCATGCATACAGAACAAAAACGCTCAGTAAAGATTTCTGATTGCCTACAAAAAAATATCCATCAGAGTGAAACTATACCTTTCAGATACACCTAGTACTCCCATCTCATGGCCTTTAGTGGGAAAGGAGAATGAAGATCCTCTTCCATATTCTCCTCCTCCATATTCTCCTAATTTTCACCCCTGTCTTTCACAGGAGAGAACTTCCCCATCCTCATCTGCTCCTCACACTTCAGCCCTGGACACCTGGTTTACTCATTTTTCAGCAGGCGACCACATATGTGAACCAAAAATTCCTCTCCACACTTGGATAAGTGTAGAAAGTCTGTCTCTCCACTGTGGTCAAATTAGGGAGTTACTCCAGCTCTAGAGCTGTATTTACTCCTATGGGCTGCATGGCAATAGCAGGCACAGTGGGGAGAAAAATAACTGGATCCTGGTAGGAAGGAGGCAGATAGATCATTTATATGAGCTCTCCATTCCTGGACTGAAATTGTTAGTTTGGCCTTGCATACCAGTTTGTTATTTACCACAAGTAAGCATACTGCACTGTTAGTGTCCAAACCACCAAAAGTATAATTTCACCCAGATCAAACCTTAAGGGAAGGCTGAGTATGCATTGATTCCTTGGCTTGTTGTTATGCACTAGGGGCAAGAATTTCAAAGGTATTGAAACATTGAAACATGCAAATGTACTTGGTGAGATTTTCATATGCACCTAGGTGCCTAACTCCAATTGACATCAGGCCCCTGAAAACTTTTGAAAATCTGGCCCTCTGGCTCCACTTTGCAAACAGCTAGACATGAACAACAACTCAATTCTTACATCAAAATATCAGTATAATTCTTACATTTCCTCATAAGAGGTTATTATAAAAATATATTAAATAATTTTCAATCTTTAACCATAAAATAGCACAAATTCTTATCTTTGAAGTTGTGAAGGAGTGATACTGTATTCAATGGAATTATTATTATTAGTCAAAGAGGTCACTTGCTGTCCTCCTGTATATTTTTCTTAAAAATAACTATCTTTTAAATATTGTCCACATTATGCATAATATAATTTAGAATAGGCCCTTTTTTACACAGCTTCAAATAATGCAACTAAAGCTTTTCTACATCCTAAAATGTCTGAATCATAATTTTTCTGAATACCTGAAAAAAACCCGGTGGTACAGGACCTACTGGCATGCCATCTCCTGGGGGAATGTTTCCTAGCACTGGACTGGGAGCTGCTGCAGCACTCTGAAAAGAACAAAGGAAAAATAAACCTTTGTCATTGCATGGTAGGCATAAAACCAAAAACTACTGTGACTAAAATGCAGTACGGCAGAAAGTAAACTCTCTGGATATCATATAATTTTCATTGTTTACTCTAAAAGTAAACTGTAATTCAATAACAGTCTCATTTTATACACATGAAATGGTTAATTTTAGTTCACAAATATACGTTATTTGAGGAGAGGACTGACAGACACATTCATCCATTAAATGTATCATGATTGTATGTATATATTTAATGTTTATATTATATATATTTATAAATGTATGTGTGTATCTCTCTCAAACATGCATATATATATATGGGCTATGAAAAAGTTAACGTATATAGTCTATTTGAAATTTTCAACCACTTTTAACTTCAGCAGACTTAATATTATTTTAAAATCATACCAAGCTTCAAAACTATGGCTGCTCATGACTCTACCAGTCCCACAAATAACCACCATGATTAATGAGAATAATTCTGGTTACATTTTTGGAAAGGAAAAACAAGAAGAGGAAGGGGGGGGAAAAGTAGTTCTAAGAAGTGAATCAGAGGATGAAATTAACTACCTTTGCAAATCTTACAAATGGAATAAGCAAGCAAGGAACATAGCTCCCAGCAATTTACAAGCAGGAGATCATCACAAAAATGGAAGCCAAACTGTTATTGTTCTCATGTATTAGAACTTCAATTGCTTTTAATTTCTAGCAGCTTTCTTTCCTGCAGTACATTCTGTTAGGGTGTGGGGCTGAATCACCTTAAAAGACTTTCAGTCTTTTGTAAAATCACTCTTAGGAGCACAGAAAGCATGAAGACCCATTTGCAGGTCCTAATGATCTGCCAATATCTACCCGGTGGAATACAAATTTATGATGATTATTAATTTAACTGGCCAATGAGGTCATTTTTAGATTTAATAACCAAATTAAGTATATATGTACATTATATTTTCAGGTCCATTTAAGGAAATGTATAGTGTAATGCTGGGAACATTAGAAAACTTAATTTGATGGGTATGGCATGTAGATATGCTGACATTTTTAGACTGAACAAAAAATAAATATTCAGATTTTGCAATGGTTCAAACCACTCTTTAGAATAAGTTCCTCAAGTCTGATAACCAGTACAATATTTAGTAACTAAACTGTATGTTACTTTCCAACAAGGGACCAAAGAGGCTAGTAAAGTCTGCACACAAGCTATAAGAAGTACAGTACAGTCAGAACGGCTACAAGGCTTTGATCTTGATTGCACTGTTGACATTTGTTGCCCAGTGAATTATTTTAGTAAGCTCACAGATTCTGATTCTTGACTCTGTAATATGTTCAGCAAGGTTGGTGTTACAATACTTTACTCTTGCAATTGACCACAAAAGTCAGTCATATGTACCTGAGCTAGCAAAGGGATTTGGGTCACAAAACATTTTCATGCAGGACTGCCAATAAATAACGGAGCTATGATGGGGTGATATTGTATCAGACTGCAGTGGATAAAGAGGGGTTACTTCCTGGTAACTTCTTTGGGGGTTGACTCTGTGCATTAATGGGATTTGGTACCTCTAGCATTAAGATGTAAAATTGTATAGAAAACTTGCATCCACTGGGAGGAGGGGGTAACTGGATGTCCTCATCAGCCCTGTCTATATAACACAGCATACCCCCCAGCCCACCTCTGTTCCTTTTCCCAAGCCCACAAAGTCCTGAAATACAAAGAACTCCCAAGGCAGAGGGAAAGGTGGCTGGATAGTGTGACTATACAGAGACAACCCTTAAAGAACAACAATTATTAGTAAATAACACTTTTTTCTTCTTTGAGGGCCTCTGTGCATTCCTACTTGCAGGAGATTAGGAAGCTGGGTCCCCCATTAGAGGAGCAGTTCTAGGCAAAAATGAATTGCAGCACTGCCTTGCCACACTAAGCATCATATTGCAATTCTACGTCCAATAAATAGTATTCAGTGAAAATATGAACAGAACTCAGTGGTGCTGCATTGAAAATCTCTACAGTTGGGACCAGTCTCAAACAAGCTACAGAAGCAGCAGTACCCTAGTGGTGTATGTGTATCTTTAACTGTAGAAGTACTGGTTTTCTGACTAAAGAATAACAATATGCTTCCTAATGCAGTGTGAAAGAGTATTCACTAATAGGTAGTCCCTTACACGTTTTCCAGTAGGCAACAAATAATCTGTTAGTTTTCTAAAGGATGTAGTCCTGTTCAGGTAATAATAAAGGGGCCTTTTCACATCTAAAGAGCATAAATGGGACTCTCCTGGATGGACATTAGGTCTGAGGAAGAAAACAGGGAGGGTGGCCGAATGAAAATCTGAGACCATCTTAAGCATTATGCTGGGGTGAAGTCTCATAATGATTTTTTGTTGTGCATTATTATATGGGCTGGAGGCACCAAAGGCACTGACATTGCTGACCCTCTTAACAGAAATAATGGGCATTAAAAATGGCATTTTGATAGCCAGGTGTTCTAAGGAAGCCGGATACATTGGCTGATAGGATAGGTCCATCAACATTGTTAAAACCAGGCTGGGAAGGAGCTTCTAGTATGTTTAAGAAAGATGAATTCAAACTGGAACAGAGAAGGGCTACTAGGATGATCTGAGGAATGGAAAACCTGTCTTATGAAAGGAGACTCAAAGAGCTTGGCTTGTTTAGCCTAACCAAAAGAAGGCTGAGAGGAGATATGATTGCTCTCTATAAATATATCAGAGGGATAAATACCATGGAGGGAGAAGAATTATTTTAGCTCAAAACCAATGTGGACACAAGAACAAATGGATATAAACTGGCCATCAGGAAGTTTAGACTTGAAATTAGACGAAGGTTTCTAACCATCAGAGGAGTGAAGTTCTGGAGCCTTCCAAGGGAAGCAGTGGGGGCAAAAGACCTATCTGGCTTCAAGACTAAACTTGATAAGTTTATGGAAGGGATGATATGATGGGATAGCCTAATTTTGGCAACTAATTGATATTCAACTATTAGTGGTAGATATGCCAATGGCCTGTGATGGGATGTTAGATGGGGTGGGATCTGAGTTACTATAGAGAATTCTTTCCTGGGTGTCTGGCTGGTGAGTCTTGCCCACATGTTCAGGGTTTAGCTGATCACCATATTTGGGGTCGGGAAGGAATTTTCCTCCAGGGCAGATTGGCAGAGGCCTTGGGGGTTTTTCGCCTTCTTCTGCAGCGTGGGGCATGGGTCACTTGCTGGAGCATTCTCTGCACCTTGAAGTCTTTAAACCATGATTTGAGGACTTCAATAGCTCAGGTTAGGGATTTGTTACAGGAGTGGGTGGGTGAGATTCTGTGGCCTGTGTTGTGCAGGAGGTCAGACTAGATGATCATAATGGTCCCTTCTGACCTTAAAGTCTATGATTCTATGATTCTATGAAAAGTCATTAGTCATTCCCTTTAGAAACTTGGAGACTGGGGGGGGGTAGCCAATAGAGCCTTGACTTTGATCTATATGTATATATGATACACAGATTAACCTGGTAGAGTCTCTTTTAGAAAGTTACCACTAAACCCTGTGATTTCAAATGCTAGAGATGCTCTAAAATCGCAGGGACGTTTGCCCATGATGGGTTTATTCTTTATCCTTTCCCCAACACAAAAACCTTGTCCATTTCAAATCTGTACCACTTCAAGGTAGAGTTCTGTCTAGACTGTAACAGTCCTGCTTGAACTCTGAAAACACAGAAAGCCCATGGCAGTCAACAGACTATTTTCCTCCTTGCAGCTAGGTGAAGCATCTCTGGGTTTGGATGAAGAATTCTCCCTTATTGTTGAAAAAGGAGGTCCAGGCACAGATGAAGATGAATTGGTTGCTCTCTGGTCAGCTGGAGAAGCCATCTATCAATATTACAAAGGTTACGTTGGTGTTATAAGTATGATGTTTGCTTTGTCCGCTCTGATTTTTCTTATACTCTGGGCATCAAGGGAATGGGAGGGATGGCATGTTGATTGCTGTAGAGATGAGGGATCCATAGAGTAAGAGAGGTTTAAGAAGAGTGAATTTTTCATTGCTTTGCTGGATGTGGAGAGAGGGGGTAGATAAGTCTGTTACTGTGCATATTGGTTCTTGTCTGAGTATCCTACTGCAGCTGCAGTCCTATTGTATGCTGAGAATGGGGTGGTGGCAAAAAAAGAGAATTCCTTTGGTGGTGGTGGTGGTAACGGGAGAAAAGGAAGAGAGATATAATCTTGTGTGACATTCTGTCCTAAGAGTACGGCAAGGTTAAGATGTTTGGTCTCAGTTCTGTGGCTGCAGGAGTTCAGGTTGTTGGCTGGGGGAACCAGCTCTTTATTTCATGCTGTTTAAAGCACATTTAATTAATGTAATTAACTAATTTAATTAAGTTAATTAACTTTATTAAAGTCATCCATGATTTGATTATGGACCATAACATTTCTGGGTGTAGTTCAGTGTGTTGGTTTTAACTTACAAAACCCTAAATGATTTGGGACCTGGTTACCCAAGGGACTGCATCTCTCCCTATGTGACACTACCCCAGTTTAAAAGAAGGGGTCTTGACTTTGGAACTTACCCACCAAGTCTGCCAGGACTCCATTTGTTATGCTTACAGGCTTACACTACAAAGCTCATCTGTTCTCTTACGTTTTTGGGGTGAGAAGGGGTTAATAGGCCAGGGGATAAAGCAGCTGTTAAGTCTGGGTTATCATGGTGGCCAATTTGGCCATTGTTTGCTTATGGTGTTCATTAAGTGTATTACTGACTTGAAATTGTCAGATTATTTTTTGTTGTTTAAATTATTGTGAAGGACCTTAAGCCACTGTTAGGCCCTGAAAAAAATCTAAATAAATACAATGAAAACTGCATAATGTACGTGACAGAAGATGTAATTTAAAGAAGATAGCAATGAAGTCACAACAATGGAATAAAACAGATTTTCATTGTCTTTGACATAATATGTTTTTCAGTCTAAAAAGGTATGAAGAAATATATC